TACACCTGGCATTCCATGATATTCACCTTCCCGGAATGATCACTGAAGACAAAATGGGTACATAGCAAATGTGGTGAAGAAAGCTGATGGTTCCCGGTGATCAAAAGATATAACATTTGGGGTCTTAATGGCTTGAAGATAAACAAGCGGCCATCTAGCTGAGAAGCAACAAAGTCCACGTGAAAAAGCATACCATCCTGTGTGATCATGAGGTGTCTATGGGATCAGGTATCAGGCATCAAAGACCCAGAACAAAAATTCCTATCAGTGTGAATGAGGGGGAGTGCAGAGTGGACACCCAAAGCCCATCTATAGATAATTGAACAGCCCCTTACAGAAGAGTCACAAGGAAGAGACAAGCTAGTCAGTGTGCAATATAGCACCAACGAAACATACAACTGTCCTCTAGTTATTTAATGCTTCCTCCCCGCAACTATCATGATCCCAATTCTACCTTACAAATCCAGCTAGACTCGAGCATGTACATGGGTACAGATAAGGGCTGGAAACACACGGAATCCAGGACAGATAAACCCCTCAGGACCAATAATGAGAGTAGCCATACCAGAAGGGAAAGGGGAATGTGGGTGGGCAGAAAGGGGGAACCGATCACAATGATCTGCATATAACCTCCTCCCTGGGGAATAAACAACAGAAAAGTGGGTGAGGGAAGACATTGGTCAGTGTAAGACATGAAATAATAATAACAATTTATAAATTATCAAGGGTTCATGAGGGAAGGAGGGAAAAAATGAGGAGCTGATACCAAGGGCTCAGGTAGGAAGAAAATATTTTGAAAATAATGATGGCAACAAATGTACAAATGTGATTGACACAATGGATGGATGTACGGATTGTGATGAGAGCTGTATGAGCCCCCAATAAAATGATTAGAAAAATAGAAAAGAAAAAGCATGCGTATCATGCGGGCTATTTAAAACATGCCAGTATCAATATATTATGAATAATTTATTTAAAAGAAATATGGAGGGTAATATAATGTGCAATATGTACTTATTACCAGATAAGTACATATTATCAATATAATAATAGAAGCATTGTCTACCAGCTGACTTGCTCAGACAGATGAAAGCGGGCTCAGTAAAGACAACAAAGACTAAATGACTTTGCTACTGTAAACCTCACGGGTTCCAAAATGCAGTGATTTGTAACTTACTCATTGAAAGATACAAAATATCCCAATATTTGAAAATAATCCTAATATAGATTATATACTAGAACACTGTAAATTTAGGTTTAAAATTATGTTGTTATAATTTTAAACCGAAGTTTACACTGTGCATCACCGAGACCTCATTTCTTCTTTTGTGCAACTTCATTTGACTGAACCATGAACTCTCACACTTTGTTTGATTTAGGCCCCAAGACCAAGAGAGTTTTCCAATCACTGAATCCTCAATTTACAAGGCAAGTTATCCTTGCACTTAGCCCACGCTTAAAAAAAAAAAAACCTCAGCACTGAGCTATTGTATTAGAGATGGTAAGTACAAGAATTTCTTTACAAGAATTGCATTGCCTCTGGTCTAGCCTCCTCCAATCATCTCCCACCTCTCACACATGTCACATATTTCAAGTTTGCCTTCATTTGACTTTCTAAGTACAGTTATCTACAAGTGAAGTACCACCCATGGGTGCAATTAGGCAAGGCAAGCCCATTGTTTTGTTGCTCAGTGATCCTTTCAACCACAGCAACTAGCAGGTATCCAGGGGATTTATTTCCACCGATTAATGATCAATCCAGGTCAAACATATGCAGTGAATATTACCTTGCTCTAATTCATGAACTCATTCATCTTGAGACTATTAATAGTTGTTTCAGCAGGGACTTGAATAGGGATTTATATCATTTTATAGCCCATGGTTTGCAAGTGGGCTTCCAGATGGACAGCTTGCCAGCTAAGTCATCTTGTGTCTATCTCACAGGCAGTTTTTGGAGCTAATACTCCTTTTTATTTCTTTCACTTGCTAGACACACCACGGAACATGCTGTTCTGTGCCGTGCAGAGTCGGAGTAACAGGGAGAGGTCTTCATGAGTAAAGTTTAATTACAATCTTGAAACAAATCTTCCTTCTTCTTACCAATGTATCTATAGGACTAATGGTTTGTTTTTTAATGCTTGACAGCCAGCCATATGCTATCCCAAACCAAACTCACTGCCATCCAATCAATGCTGACAAATAGCCACCCCAAAGTCTGGGGGAAGAGAGGAAAATGGCTTCAGTGAGTTTCAGAGACTATGGCTTCTCATGGGAGTAGAAATCCCTGTCTTTCTCCTGAGGAGTGGCTGGTGGTTTGGAACTGTTGACCTTGCAGTTATCAACCCAATGTGTAACCACACTGCCACCAGAACTCCCTACTGTATGTTGTATTTGTGGTAAATTGCTCCAGCTATAACATGATGTATTTCCCTTAGGCACATAGAATGTTAGTCACCCCTGCAAGTGAATGTCCATCCTTATGTATGCGGTTTCTAAACATGTACCCGATCATCCATTTAGCATCTCGTTTTGTCCAGTAGTTTAAAAACTATGCTGTAGGAGGAAGGCAGAAACCTATGCGTCTGCTCTTTTGTTTGGGACCCCACACCCTTCTGGGCCAAGCGTGTTGTTGACATTCCAAGGAAAGCAATATCCATATGGAGCAGACACACAATGTCTCTCCCGATTGATGTCCATCATGCATTCACTCAAACTCATCCAGGGCACTTGTAAAGAGCCGTTTATTGGAGTGGACCAGGACACTTGAAGAGACCATGTTGCTCCCCACACCGCTGAATGACTGCACCGAGAGACTTCTCCAACAATGGCGCCCCCAAATTCATGCTCCCAACTACAATGAACTGTTTACCTTACTTTGTGTTTGTCTTTCTTGATAGAATGAATCACAACTTATCTTTGTTTATCTGGTACATAGTAAGTATTCAATAACTGCCTGATAGCTAAATCAATGAAAAGGAGTAAATCAATAGATTTGTACTGAGAAACAAAATTTATATGGTCTTACCTGATTTTAATGGAAACAGAGAAGATAGAGTACAATGGGATGGAACCCTGGGTTCAACAATTACATTTGCCCCTTTGTTGTTGTTGTTCTTTTGAATTTTTTTAAGATCATTTTATTGGGGGTTCTTACAGGTCTTATAACAATCCATCCATCAAGCATATTTGTACGTATGTTGACATCATTATCCATTTGCTTCTTGATGCAAACTCTTTAGACAATTTCAATGTGACTCTATGTTTGCTTGTTTGATATGTATAATAGCTAATTCAATTTGTATATTGAATCAAAGAGACATTGACATTGTATATGGAAACAATAACATTATAACAGAAAGAGCAGTTCCTGGGGGGTTCTTAGGAGAAATAGGCTGAGCAGGAAGCAGTTCTGGGACCCACACTCTATTGTTTTAGGAATAGCTAATAGCTAATAGGGGAACTCAGTATCCTAAATCTCCAACCCTATTTGTACATTGTGTTCTCCATTCTCAATCCCACTTCCAATTGCAGAGTTCTGTGATGGGTCTTTCCTTCCATTGATAACCTAGTCTCCAAGATCTCTGACCGTAGTACTATCAGTAGACATGATCTCAAAATGTTTCCATAACCTCTGCCCATAAAAGTAGAGAAATGGAACTCTCTCTTCTTCTTCCTTTTGACATTCAAGTTTTGAACTTGGATTGCATGCAACGTGACAGCGTTACACGCTCATATTGCTTAGGTCACAAGAGCATTCCATGATGAATGAATCTTTATCGGGTGCCCTGACAAACATATCACATTTCATCTACCTGGAAAAATACTTTTTTGAAACATTTTTATTTAGGTAAAATGTTGGAATTTTAGGAAATTTGCAGAAACAGTATAAGGAATATGTCTAGATAACCTTTATCCAGATTATTTACATTTACTCCATATGCTCTCTTGCTCTCTCCCTCTCTCTCTCTGTACACACACACACACACACACACACACACACACTTACTGTTCAGCACAAACATAAAGGATAAACTAGCAGCAGAAAGAATGAGTCGTATTTCGCATGTCTGAGCTTCGTTTTGCTTATTGGAGCTTTGTATGGCAGGGTATAGCAATGAAGGCTTTCTGCAGAGGTCAGTCTAGATGACTGCCGAGTGGGTGCTAAGAGTTGAAGTGTGTCCACAAAGACATCTATTGAAGTTCTAATCGTTCTGTAGTGTGAGCTGCACTGGTGGGTTTGAACCGCCTTAAACACTGCGCCACCCGAGTTCTTAAAATGAACTAAAAAGTCTATCATCCTGACTATCTTGCTCCTGAGACATTAAAATGAATAATTATGAATTAAATAGCATTAATAGTACTAGCCTTTTCCAAGCCCAAATCAAGCAATTCTCCTGTTTTCTATGTTTGCTCTCTTACTCGCTGTCTTGGTTTTCTTGCTTCTCCATCATTATGTTCTCAGCCCGATCCTGCAAACAGTAGTTCCAGGACTATTCACTTACCTGCCCTGGAAGCACGTCATTTATATCCTGAGTTTCCTCACTGAAAATCAGTCACCCAGGTAACCCAATGCACCGACAAGAAATTCCAAATATATGTTGTACCCTCTGTTCCTTTTCTATCTTCAGTGAAAACAGCACACTCTTAGGAAATGATTTCCTAAAATATATTAGTTTACTAAAATAAAGTGAAACCCATGTGTAACAAAGAAATATACAGTAGTCTTTCTAAATGACTGATTAGAATGTAGAGCTGTAAGAAAGGGAGTAACCATTTTTGCAGAGAGGTGTATTCTACGGCCCATTTGTACTCATAACAGCCCTTCAGGATAAAGTAGACATGTCCAATAGTGTTTGCAAGCTAATGATCTTTATGGAAGCCCACTGCTGCATCTTGCTCAATGGAGTGGCTGATAGATTCAAACAGCTGACATTTTGATTAGCACTTGACCATTGCTCCTTAAAATAGCTTTTGCTGTGTATAAAATGAAAGGTAATAAATGGCAAGCAAAAGGAAATGTTTATTGTTATGACATAGTCTTTTATGGAGAATATTTCTTAACTTCAAGAACCAAACATAATTATTAATACTTACAGAGGACCTACTGTATTATTTGTATTGCATCTAACCCATAATGGGTTATTTTCTAAAAGAACTCAAAATGAAGAAATGGTAATAATCACACTTCAGTCTACTTTTTTATAGGAATTAAAATGAGAATATGTAATAATAAAATGCAGAGTTGAAAGAACATATTGTATCAAAGAATATAATTTCTATTCGAAAAGCTTCTTTAAGCCAAAACTATCACAAATACACTTTGATAACCATGGCATTGCACCAGGACACAAAACTGCAGGCAGCTCCATCACTTCAGAGAGTTCACTACGACGACCAGGTCTATGTACAATGTGTTCAATTCTGAATACAGGGAGTGGTTGTTACATAACAGAAATTGCCTAAATTTTTCCTTATTGAGTCTCTTATTTGAAACAGAGGCTTTGAAACATTGAAGTGAACATGTGTATTTTTCATGTGAAGTGGGACAGAGAGTAGATAGTGATGAAGCTGATAGTTTAATACTGTTCTCTGGCCATCTTCCCTCTTAGAACGCCTTCCGAGGTCCCAGATATCCTCAGAAAGTCAAACCTCGAAGTCCTTCAGGTCTACACGTCGCTAATCCACTCCTGAGGCTTGGCCTAAAAAATTAGCATTGCCGTCTTCACCATCTAGCTTTTGGAACCACGGCTTTGAATTTGTTTCTTGTAGATAAGCATCCAGAAAATAACAGATTCCAGGAATTTCACTGGGGAAGTTTTGTGGTAGCTCCTCCCTCGATCGAGGGGTAAACACAAAACCAGGGCAGTCTTTGAGTAATCTGAAAAGATAAGAACAGAACTATTAAAACTGAACACTAATATAAACATTGGTATACTCAAGGCAACATAACAAAATGACTATTTCTGAGCTCCAGAAACCAGCGGTGATATTGAATCTCTTTTGACTATTTAACAGTTGCAGTATTTCTCCTGCTGAGTCAATTCTACCAAATTTTGTTATTTGGCACTTACAGTGTGCTTGTCCATTATGTTAAACCCATATTAAATTCCAGGTCTTCTGCTTATGTTACTGGCTCCTCTTCCCTTTCACTTTCCTAGCTTTTTGTCTAATGTGAACTTCATGAGCATTCTCTCCATCCCATTATCCAGGCCATGGATGAAATAGGTTAAGTAGCTCTGGGCTCTAAACCAAATTCTACAGAAAATCATTTACCACATCTGCCTAACCACACCAGCGCCTTGTATACACCAGCCTGGGATGTCATATGCAAACAAGATAGAAAGATGACACTGAATTAAATTCTGGTTCTGGGACATTTTGTGTCCATGTGTTGCAGCACCAACAAAATGGAAATC